TTATCTGCGCGTGACATAGGGATTATATGGTGACAGAGCTGCCTTGCCTTTGGGGTGGTGAACACACAAACGCAGTACACAGATGATGCGTTATAGAACTGGACTCCTGAAACCTGCATCATTTTACTAACCAATGTTACTCCAATAAATCCAATAAAAAATTGTTTTTAAAAATCTTACTATAAACTGTGAAGGCATTAGAGGCTATTTCCCAAATGCCAGACACACAATTTCTCTATGTCAACTGGCTTCCCATTTAGATTCAGGTATGTTTTATTTTCAAATTGATATTTTAAAAAAACAAACACCCACCCTAGCCGGTTTGGCTCAATGGATAGAGTGTCAGCCTGAGGACTGAAGGGTCCCAGGTTCGATTCCAGTCAGGGCATATGCCCAGGTTGCGGGCTTGGTCCCCAGGAGGGGGTGTGCAGGAGGCAGCCAATCAATGGTTCTCTCTCATCATTGATGTTTCTATCTCTCTCTCCCTCTCCCTTCATCTATGAAATCAATAAACATATATTTTTTTTAAAAAAAACACCCTCAACCTCTTACCAGAAAATCCACAGGATCCTCTGGTCTGACCTTACAACACTCGTTCAGACCCTGCATGAGCGTTGGCATAACGTAGGTCATTAAGTAGTTTCTCAGGGGAGCAGACTGAGCCTCGAGTAATTCGGTTTCTTCCCTTTTCACTTCTTCTAGCCGTCTATTCTACAAGTAGAACATGGGGGCGGGGGAAAGAGTCAGAAAAGGGAGAACTCTCTCACACGACTCACCCCACAATGCATCAGAACTAGAGCGTGCTAGAAATGGTCGCCGCTATATTATAAAGATTGCCTTTCCAACCTGCAGAGAATAGACAGAAATGGTGGTATAACCGTGGGCTAGTCGTTTAGGAAATAGTAAGCTGGATCCCTACCTCACTTCTTAAACAGAAGTCATTTCTAGCTGTCTAGATGAAGAAAAGAAGGGAGGGAGGAAGAGAGAGAGGGAGAGAGGGAGAGAGAGAGGGAGGGAAGGAGGGAAGGAGGGAGGGTCATAGAAGTGATAACAAGAGATCTAGAAGGCATTGGTCTGGTGGACGTGTGCTATTCCTTGCTCAGCATACAGCCACCCTCCCCTGGGAAAAATAATTCCATATTTCCTTTGAAAAATCTTCCTTCTCAGCCTAGTGCAAGCCCATACGTCCAGCCCCCCTCCTGTCCATGAGCCAAGCCAGGAAGAGCCCAAGGGTGACACCAACAATGACGAGGGAGCAGAGAGAGGGATGCGAGGTCCTTGGTGCCTTCTGAGCCACCACACCAAGCCTCGCCTGAAGCCAGCCTACCCTGGGCTTTCCTGTTATGCGAATCCAGCACTGTTCTCTATTGCCAAAACATTTTCAATTGACTTTTCTGTCCCCTGCAAGCTAAAGAATCCTAACTGATCCTTTTTAAAAGAGAACTTTCCCAGAAAGATAGAAAACCCAGGAATCAAAATGGGAGAAGACTGATGGATTTGACTGCATATAAACATAAATATTGTTTCATATATTTTTTAATATATTGATTTCAGAGAGGAGGGGAGAGGGAGATAGAAACATCAATGATGATGGCTGGGGGGTTCAATTGGGGAAAAAGGAGACATACATAAAACTTTAGACAAAAAGAAATTATAAAAATAAATTTAAAAAAATAAGAAATAAGAAAAGAAACATCAATGATGAGAGAGAATCATTGATCGGCGGCCTCCTGCACACCCCACACTGGGGATCGAGCTCACAACCCAAGCATGTGCCTTGACTGGGAATCAAACCGTGACCTCCTGGTTCATAGGTTGAAGCTCAACCACTGAGCCACCTCAGCCGGGCTGAACGTAAATATTTTGTGACCAGAAGAAACATCGTACACGATATTGAAAGATAAAGGACGGATGAGCTGAGAAAGAACGATTTGCATTATATTATAAAAAGCTTAGAACTGATGGGAGAGCACACTGTTTGCTAGGCAACAGTTTGCATGTTTGCAGACACATTAACTCTTCAATCACCACCGCGACCCTATGAAGCAGGTGCTATCACCATCCTCATCTCCCACATGGAGAGACCGGGACACAGAGTGACTCGCACAGGGCCACGGGCCTCCAGAGAGTGGAGCCGGAGCCGGACAACGTGGGCTAACGGTGTCTCCTGGGCCAGTCCTGTTTCTCTCCCACAACCTGATCAGGAGTGGTTCTTGCAAAATAATAAGAGACACACAGCTCCAGCATGGGCGGGGAAAGCGTGCGGCATAACAGGGAATGTGACGTCCTAACACAGGAAAAGTCGGTAAGCTGGTGATCGGAGACATGAACAGACACAGTGAGATCAGTTTTTGTTCATCAGAGTGGTGTGTGTGCGCAGAATCGAGAAAGCAGGGTTGGAGGCCAGGGCACATACAAGAATTAACCAATGGCCCGGCCGGCGTGGCTCAGTGGTTGAGCATCGACCTATGAACCAGGAGGTGAAAGTTTGATTCCTGGTCAGGGCACATGCCCGGGCTGCGGGCTCATCCCCAGTAGGGGCCGTGCAGGAGGCAGTGAATCAAATGATTCTCTCTCCTCATTGAACCTGCAACCTTGGTGTATCGTGACAATGCTCCAGCCTGCGCTACCCGGCCAGGGCAGGGGTTGAAATTTTAAATGTGGCTCGTGTCCAGGAAAGGCCTCCTTGGAAAGATGACTTTGAATAAAGATTTTTTAAAAGGCGAGGAACTATGTCATACGGGTGGCACATGCTTAGATGCTCTGGGAAATCTTAGAAGCAGCCGGGTCCCCAAGGACCTTGGGGGCCACGATAGGAGTCTGAACTTTCGTCTCAGGCGATGGTGAGCCTGTGAAGAGGGAGTGGAGCGTGGCCGTGAGCACCTGCACTTCAGGAGGCTGCCTGCAGGGATTGGAGACACACAGGCAGCGGAGCTGGGGAGGCCAGGGGGAAGGCACAGCCCATAACCGGGCTGCGACACACTGACCCCTGAGGAGCGGAGAGCTGCGGGCTCCGAGCTACTGTAGGAGCAGCGTAGGTGAGAGTGGGGAATGAGGACGGTGGAATGAGGCTGACACCCAGGGCCGGGGGGTAAATGGAGGGAAGTCGACTGAAACCACAAGGTCGCCGCACAGCACCACATTACATGGGCAGGATGTGTGTTGCTAACACGGCTGGCGATGGCTCGTTATTATTGTTGTTGTGATTTGTACTAAGCAGAAGACTATGGCATCGTTTTAAAATGGTACACATGACTAATAAACTAACAAACAAAACTGATTTGGGGATTTCTGTGACATTTCTCTATTAGCAGGATTGGAAGTGCAACTGGCCTAAATGGCTTTGCCAGGGGCCCCCTCCACAGAGTTCCCGTGCACACACACATACAAGCCTGCACAGGAATGCATACACTCAAGCCTGCATACACATGCACACACATAAGCCTGCACACACACAAGCCTGCACATGCATGCACACACACACACACACAAGCCTGCACTGCATGCACACACACCCAAGCCTACACACATACACACCCAAGTCTATACACGCATGCACAGCATAAGCCTGCACACACAAAGCCCTGCATACTTGCACACACCCACACACAAACACAACACACAGGCCTATACATACAAGCCTGCACATTACATAAGCCTGCACACACACAAGCCTGCATATGCATGCATACACACAAGCCTGCACACACATGCACACACCTAAGTGCCTGCACATACACAAGCCTGCACACATAAGCCTGCACGCACACACACACTCACCCACTCCTCCCAGCGAGCAATCTTCTCGGCCATCTCCACGGCTTCCTTGTGCTCCCGCTCCGCTTCCACCATCGCCTCCCTGGCCATGCGCTCCTCAGCAGCCTTGCGCTCCTCTTCGGCCTTTTCCTCATCCGTTAAACCATAATTCCGAGGCTCCCCAATCTCTTTGATGAGCCGTTTGATAGTGAGTCTGTTGTGAGGGTCTTCAATCTTCCCTACATCTTTAAACACCAGGAGAGAGGGAGCGGTCAACACATCCTGACATTCGGGGCCCACCTGCAGTGAGTTCTGAGACCATAGTCGGGAAAATTCTCCCCCCCGTAAACTTGTGGGGGTCCGTTATGTAAGTTACCAGCTGCGGTTTCCTTTTCTAGTTGCCAGCACAGGTCAGACTTGCTTGTCTCACTGGCCGATATCAGACGCAGGGAGGAAGCCTGGGCTCCTGGCTGCCTCTGACAGTCCCCGCGGATTTAAGCGGACAGACGGGTGGGGCGGGGGGGGGGGGGGGGAGGGGGGTTCTCCAGCCCTGGGAGCATCCAGGCAAAGACGGGGAGCCCCTCGGTCGGGGTTCCCACCGAAGGAAGCCCTACATTTGCTGGAGGCCGGGCTGGGTGGCCTCCAGGTTTCCTTTGCTCTCTGTTTCTGAGAATCAATTCTCTCGGGACATGTTTTTAATTGATTTAAAAAATTAACCACTTTAGTTAGCCTACTTGAGGAGGAAAGAAGTCCAAACTGCAGAGTGCCTGACTCATGCTGATATCAGGACCAAGAAAAAAAAGAGAGAGAAAGGCTTGTTGGTAACAACCAGTGTCCCCCAGTCACCCCACAGTCCATCCTCAGCCCTCTCTTGGGAGTTCTTGGGAGGTGTCAGCAGGGAAGGGTGTGCCGTGGACGCATTCACTACTCAGCCCTCCACACCTTCCTCCCGGGGACCCCCCACCCTGCCCCCAAGTACACCACGGTGATGGCCCCTCCCCCACCTCCCGGTTACACACTGTCACCTTGACCTGGACGAGAGGCACCCTGGTGCTGACACGGGAAGAGGGGCAGAACAGGCACAGTTTGTCAGTTAGTGGGTACAAACAAACCGAGAAAGAAAAAGGCGGCCCGGCTGGTGTGGCGCAGGGGTTGAGCGTCGACCTATGAACTAGGAGGTCAGGGGTTCGATTCCAGTCAGGGCACATGCCTGGGTTGCGGGGCTTGATCCCCAGTGTGGGGCGTGCAGGAGGCAGCCGATGAATGATTCTGTCGCATCATTGATGTTTCTCTCTCTCTCTCTCTCTCCCTTCCGTTCTGAAATTAACAAAAACATGTTTAAAAAAAGACAAAAACCTCACGCATGCCGGTGCCCACACGCTGACATTTAAATGGATTTTCCCTGGTTCCTCCTGTAATCCCAGCCTTGCTGCGCCGGAGGGGCCTCTGACCGGCTTTGAAAGGCTTCCTTTGAGAGGAGGGCTCACAGACGGCAGTGCTGCCCCCGGGGGCCCTGGGGGTGGGCGGGGAGGGGCACCTGACCACCTGGGCAGCACGCGGCCTCTGACTTGCCCTTCTTGGAATGTGGATCGGGACTGAGAGTCACGTCCAGCTCTAGGCTTGGCTCCCGTGTAACCCGGAACCTCTGGGTGGCAGGGCTGCCCCCGGGGCCGCCACGGGAGCCAGAGAGGAGAGAGAGATTCTGGTCCAAAGAGCGAGAGAGGAAAGGGGCATGAGAGAGGAGGGGATTCCGATGCAGAGACAGATTGCGGTGCCAGCATCTTTCCAGGCCCTTCCAGACCCTTGGAGGCCAGGCTGCTCTCCGGACCTTGACACCTCCCCCCGCACCCCTCCTGGCGGCACATGTCTCCCTTTGCGGTTATGATCTCCTGGTTGTCGGTGTGGAGATGAGGACAGCGTGCCCGGCGCAGAATGAGACAGGAGGGCGGTGGCCACTCATTCACTCCCCCGTCATCACTGTGTCTCTCTCTATGCTTCTCCCTGGGGCTCTCCTGATCTTTCCATAAATGATTTCTGGGGTTTTACTGAGAAGATGACAATGGCTATTTTTGTGACATGTGCTCACCATTTTTTCCTCGTTCTCTAATTAAATAGCGTAGAGGACTTTCCAAATTAGTGGGCGTCAGGTCCTCACATATAAAATATGTGAAATCTGTCCAATATGCACAGACACAGTTAGGTGAGGGCAAAACCCAGCCACTTCTGCTGGTGGGAAACAGAGGAGTGCAGATACATAAGCAGTGTCACCTTTCAATTTCTTAGCAGCCATTTGATGGCTTAGTGCTGGGAGTAAAAACAAAGTTACTGCTTTAGAACTCCTTCAATGAGCCAGAGACTTCCTATCTCTTACTGCTACTCTTTGGAACAACTCTACAAGCCAGGGATTATTCTCCCGTTTCCCAGATGAGAAAACTGAGGCAGGTTCAGAACTGGAATCGGCTCTCCTGCCACATTAGCTCTAAGCCTCCCAACACTCCAGGGTCCGAATGCTGCCCCGTCTCGCTCTTGGGGGTGAAGAGAGGCCTCGGGAGGCCCAAGGCGTCGGCCTGGCCACTAAGGTCCCACCCAGCTCGGGCTTTCTCCCCAAAGGAGGAAGCAGTATCAGTGTCCAGAAAACCGGAAAGGAAGTTTAGGGGCTCCCCTAGCCGAGGGGAGTGGAAACAGCAGTGACAGCTGAGGTTTGGAGCCCGCACCATGATAATGAGAATGAGGATGATGATGAGGGTGAGGGTGATGATGAAGGCGAGGGTGACGAGAGCATGTTTCCTGGGTGTTTGCTGGGAACTGAGCTCCGAGTCATGTTTAGAGGAAACACAGAAAGGCAATGGAGAGCTGTTTGCTTTTCTGAGTAGCCAGGGGGCTCAGCTGGCCTGTCTAGCTGTGTGGCCAGTGCCTCACAGTATTCCTGTGATGACACACCGGCCCCCAGGCAGCTGGGGAAATGGCCCACAGCAGCCAGCAGCAAACACATGTCTTTGAAATGCCCTTGAAAAATTTGGTATTCCAGCCCGGCCCGTATGGCTCAGTGGTTGAGCGTTGACCCAGGAACCAAGAGGTCACTGGTTCCATCCCTGGTCAGGGCACATGCCCGGGTTTTGGGCTTGATCCCCAGGATGGGGTGTGCAAGAGGCAGCCGATTGATGATGTTTCTCTCTCATCAATGTTTCTATCTCTCTATCCCTCTCCCTCTAAAAATAAATAAAAACATATTATAAATAAATAAATAAATAAATCACAATGTGGCATTCCATTTCATAATACATCCGTGTGTTTTCACATCACAACACTCCACCGCCAAATCCTCACGCAGGACTCCCCAGGAGAAGTCCCTGTTTGTCCCGGGACGTTGCCACCTGCCATCCCCCCCAGCCCTACCATGGCCTTGTGCGGGGGGGTGGGGGGCGGGGGGTGGTCAGCTGCGGGGTCCGCCACCTGGCGGAGGCTCTCCACACCCCTGTTCCCCTCCAGGGGCTCATTCCGTACCAATGTGAATGGGGTGGATCTCGAGCTCATCGAAGTAGTTGAAGACCGTCTCGTCCTCGGTGTTGAGGTCGCGGAAGTTGCTCAGCGACCGGAGGAACTGGTCCTGGCTGTAGTGGGTGCCCACCACCACGCTCTCGGGCAGGTTCATCACCCGCAGCTTCAGGAACTCGTCCGAGCCGTCCAGCGCGCAGACGAATTCTGGGGGGAAGAAGAGGCGCCTGGGTTAACGCAGTGGCCGCCCAGGTTACCTAACCAGCAGGTGTGTGTGTGTGGGGTGTGTGTGTGGTGGGGGAGGGGGAGGATGGGCAGGAAAACCCCTGGTTGGCAGCTCAGACCTCCTGTTGCTGCAAATGGCCTGGCAACTTGGCTTCTTGCTGCCTCTGGTGGAGGTTGAATACATGCAAACCAGGGACATTTTCAGACACTATACCCTGTGAGGTCCAACCTGTCGGTAATTGGAGGATCTATAATCTTCCCTTCCCTTCCCTTCCCTTCCCTTCCCTTCCCTTCC